TCCCGAGTAGCTGGAACTACAGGCACCTGCCACCACACCTGGCTAATTTTTTATATTTTTAGTAGAGACGGGGTTTCACTGTGTTAGCCAGGATGGTCTCGATCTCCTGACCTCGTGATCCACCTGCCTCAGCCTCCCAAAGTGCTGAGATTACAGGCGTGAGCCACCATGCCTAGCCCGAAATCTCATTTTTTAAAAAATACAAAATCACTCTAGTTTGTTTTTTTGAGACAAAGTTTTGCTCTTTTCGCTCAGGCTTCAGTGCAATGACGCGATCTCGGCTCACTGCAACCTCGCCCAGGGAATCTCTCCAGGCTGCAACCTCGCCCAGGCTGGAGGGCAGTGGCACCACCCCGGCTCACTGCAACCTCCACCTCCCGGGTTCAAGCAATTCTCCTGCCTCAGCCTCCTGAGTAGCTGGGATTACAGGCATGTGCCACCACACCCAGCTAATTTTTTTGTTTTTAGCAGAGACGGGGTTTCACCACATTGGCCAGGCTAGTCCCTAACCTCAGGTGATCCGCCTGCCGTGGCCTCCCAAAGTGCTGGGATTACAGGCGTGAGTCACCATGCCCAGCCAAAAATCACTCTAGTTTCTAAGCATTAGTGCTGTGTGGGTCAAATAAAGCATGCCTGCAGGCCCACTGTAAGTATTCTACAGCTCACAGGTCACAAGTTTGAGAACTGTGGTCTAAGTAAATTTCTATCTATGAAATAACTGGTACTTCAGAAGAAACCAAAGTTTGATAATACCCATGGGCTATCAGATTTTAAAATAAAGACAGTCAGGCATGGGGGTAAGGTGGCTCACATCCATCCCAGCACTTTGAAAGGCTGAGGTTGGAGGATTGCTTGAGGCCAGGAGTTTGAGACCAGCCTGGGCAACATAGTGAGACCCTGTCTCTATCCCAAAATAATTATATGATAAATTATATTATAAATGTTCTCACCTGAAAATGAGAAAAGCCTTAGAGACATACAGTGGAATATATAGTTCACTATCTACTTTCCAATACCCAATATGAAGTTCAGCACTTCCGTTAACATGTGGTGGCACATACACCCTCAGTGACGTCACCAAAACCCTTTAAGGAAGACTCACTCTGCCAGGTACTCTACTGGATCCCAACAAGGTAAAGCTACAGGAGCAGCCCATGGATTTCCTGCAGACACTAGTTTCCTTCAAGTGTTTATGAAAGCTAAAATGAGTGTACAGGCAGGGGTTAGTCCCTTGAGAAATGATGACCTGAGCTATTCAATCACTGGACATGTACAAGACAGTCTCAGTGGAGTACCACTCAGATCTCTTGAGTGCTCAGTACACTCAACTGAACCGGGAGTCAAAACCATGTGTTAAATGAGCCTCGCAGGGTGAACACACTGGCCAATGAATGGAGGCTTTTTCTTTTAATGGTAGATGTACAGTGTTCTCTTAAAAGGAAACTCAGTGCTTGTTCTAAAAAGCCAGAATCGTAAAGTAACTAAAGCTCTAAATCAGCCCAAGGTATACAGCACACATCCCAAATTATCTAGTGCTCAGGCTTAAAGTGTGAAACAGCAGCACTGGGAGAGATTTTCAGGAGGACTGTGGAACTTCTGAGGCCCCCACACCAATCAACATTTCCCCAAAAAAGGTGCCAGTGAAGAAGAGATTTGGGCCTAAAAATCTGTCAAAAGGTTACTTTCTACTAATTCTACAATGGCTTGGTCACACTCATTTGAGTGTAGTGCCACCACGATGCTGAACTTCAAGAAGCACCATTTACACTGCATTCTGTATCAACATTATGTGCTGTAGTCACACAATCCAGAGGCATTGAGTGAGTCTATCTAGATCAAAACAGATCTAATGCTTTTTTAAAAGCATTAAAAAGCATTAGTAGTTTCTCAGGAGAACAATTTCTATGTAGGTGATGACTGGCAGACAGCTGGCTGGTCCAGCTTGTGGAAGGCTGCTGTCAACCTACAACGCACTGTGGTATCACACTATCCTAACAAGCAATTGCTTGCGCGTGATGACAGGTGCTACTAAATTATCAGCGGTAGACTTTCTAGGAACATTCAAAAATATTTTTAGGAAAACTGAACAACATAAACCAGACTTGGATCTACTTATTCAGAGGTCCCCTTGTAACCTAGACAGACAGGATAAAGACGGCCGTGGAACATCATTTTGTCTTATCTGAACTAGCTGAAGAAACACTACTTCTGCTAACCAGCCAATGACTTGGGAAAAGTAGACAAGATGTTTTTTAATATCCAGCAGTTTTTTAGATCTTCATCCATGGAACTGAATGAGATCACATTTCTTTCTTTTTTTTTGAGACAGTGTCTCACTCTGTCACTCACGCTGGAATGCAGCAGAGCAATCACGGTTCACTGTAGCCTTGATCTCCATGCTCAAGCTATCCTCTTGCCCCAGCTTCCCAAATAGCTGAGACAATAGCTGAGACTGCAGGGGTGGCCACCACATGCAGCTAATTTTTTAAATTTTTAGTAGAGACAAGGTCTCACTATGTTGCCCAGGCTGGTATCAAACCCCTGAGCTCAAGCAGTCCTCCTACTTCAGCCTCCCAAAGTGCTGAGATTACAGGCTTGAGCCACTGTGACTTGCCCAGATCACATTTCTACTACCCTATAGAATGGATGTAAATTACCTGCTTGTGCCAAACATTAACTCACTAGACTTCACACTGCTGGGGATAATTTTTACATTTTATTTGACATCTTCAGAGACTTCTTCTCAATCTAAGAATGCCATGCTCAGAGTAAACCAACAACTGATGCACTCTGCTGCAAAGAGTCCAAAGGATATACACGGAGGCTTCAAGATGTCAGAGGGAAAGCCTAGTTGATAAGGTGTTGGACTTCACACACCAGACTTAATAGAAACTGCAGGTTCAAATCCCAGCAGGGTCAACTGAGATTCTATTAAGATCTGCTAGAAAAACTGAGCATGAGACACTTCACTGTCTGACAAATTTAAGAGGGCCTTACAGACTGTCTCTGGGGTTTATGAGGAGACATAAAGGGGGAAAAAGCTTTGCATTTAAATAAATATACCGTCTTTTAGTTCTGTTTAATGGTGAGAAAAATCACATCTCTGCAACATGCTGTGTATATAACAAAGAAACAGAAGTATCACCTTCCAGATGCCCAAATGAGATCCTTTGAGTAAGTTTACCATCAGCATACAGTATTACAGATTTCTAACATTCCATTCTTGCCCAATGCAAATCTATATGCAATAAACCTAAAATTACCCACCAACCTGTTTTTTTCTTTAGTTTTTAAAGGCCATCAAATCCTTGGAGATAGTATGGACCTCCAGCTGTTAACATTCAGAAGGAACACACTTACAGCCCTGTCTCCATTGGGCTTATTACTGCTCCAGTCAATGGTGCATTTCAGAGCTGAGAACAAATCCAATGAAGTTTTCACTGCTAGTAGTAAACACCACTGCTTCAACAATCCACATTAGGTCAGCATTTAACAGAGGGTTTCCCTCTGGAGCAGGTTGTCCAAGAATATGAGTTCAACCACTGGCTCAAGAGAAGCGGAATGTCTTCTCAATGGTTCAAAATTCACTTTATGTTCAACTACAGGCCTTCTGCAAACTGAGGATCTGAGCCCTTTAAGGCAGTGACTATAATTCTTCCCGGACATAGAAGGCCAACAAGTTGACTGTCACACATCAGCACAGAGCGAAAGCCACTACATATTAGTAGCCAGTGAGAAACAAGGTTCAGGACCCTGTACTGTAGAGGAGAGCACCGTAACACACCAGCAAGCAGAGTGGTGCAAGGGGAGCTGGGTGGTATGTTCATCCATTATAGCCATGGGTGGATCTGAAGTCTAAGTAAGATGGATACTCACTACCGTACTGGTTGGCACCTAAGCAGTAAAGTAACAATTCATCAGATAAAATTTTAGGTGGAACCACAGGTTTGGAAAGTTCTGGGATCCAATATAATGTCTATAGGAGCATCAATATATAACATGAAAAGTCAGTATCAGGGAAACAGGTAGGGTTCCCTCCCCTGGAATACTGGAAAGAGATGTAAAGACCATATCTTCAAGCGCCCGAGTGAAGACCTTCTTCTAACACAATGACTCCTGTGGCTTTCTGTTAGGAATCAAGCAGTAATTAGTTACAGCCCAACTTTTAAAGTATCAGTGCGCTTACAATTACATAAGAAGAGAGGAGAACATAAGACATCTAACAGCGGAAGTTTAAGTGTTAGGGCTAACTTGTAAGTAAGTTTGAGATACAATTTAAGAACACGTTCTGTTCTAATGAGTATTTTTGGCAGGTCCCATATTCACTCTCTAGGGAAGCCTGGAGCCTTTTAAAACCCAGTTAATTTAACTCTGACAGAATGTACGACATTGTCAGACAGTAAAGTTTCAATGTCGGAATGAGGCCATATCATTCTCCCAAGCAGAGGCAAGATTGCCATGAGAAATTTCTGCCTCTTGGGGACCACCCCCACACATGTAACACCTCCCTCTCTCCCCTCTCCAAAGAGCACCCTCACATGTAAGATGCCCTCGAGTTCCTTCTACTCAACACAAAGTCTAAAGACGTCGTTCCCCAAGTTTTAACAAGCTACTGGGCGTGAGACAGCTGCTTTACGTCTACACCCAGATCCTCCCCGTGGGCTTCCCGGACCTCTCCCCTCGCGAGGTTCAGAACCCCGCGCTGGCTACACTGTGGGTCCACGCTGGCCGCTGGGGCACGATGGGGCCAGAAGCTCTAGGCAAACCCTTTTCCAGCGACTTCAAGCACCTGGGAGACCCGCCCGACAGGTCGGGCCTGGGCCTCGCAGTGGCGCCTTATCCCCCTGGTTCCTCCCGGCTGCAGGAACCCCACGGAACGGCCCGGCCTGGCTGAGACGTCGGTTCAGGCTGCCTCCCGCCCCCAGGCCCGAACTCCTCTTCCCCGCCCGCCAGGCCCCGCCTCGGGATCTCGTGTTCCTGCCAGCCGGCTGCGCCCGTACCTGTCGGACCCGGTGCAGGGCGTCCACGAAGCCCTCGGCCTTCATCCCCACAGGAGCGCTCTGCCCCTGCACCAGCTCCGCCATTACCGCCCCCGCCGCCGTCGCCCCCGCAGCCGACGCCGCCGCTTGGCTCCCCGGTCCGGCCTCCCGCTCTGCTTGGGGACCCGTAGCCGGAAAAGGAAAGTCGCCCTACTTCCGGCGGAAGGGAAGCCGGGACGCTCGCAGCTCTCAGCTAGAGGAGCCGCGTCTGCGGGGGCGGGGTCAGGGCACGTGACCTTCGACCGATCGGAAGTGGGGGCGGGAGGGCAGCGCCGGGGTGGGTTCAGATCGCCAGGCAGCCGTCTGTCTCCAGGGTCCGGTCGCGACCCTTCCCTTGCCGGGCGAGATGTGGTCCAGGATCGTCGATGGCGTCTTGACAGGTCGCTGAGGCTCGGATGTGGTCCCGAGGTGTCCTCTGTCGGCCGTTTGGAATCTCAGAGGGACTGACGTGGCTCTCCCAAGACGACACCCTGAACGTGGTTCATCAAAAGCCTGGTCCTGGGCAGTCCCTCCCTGAAATGGCTATTAGTTGGAAAGTTGGGGGCTGAGCGCTTTGAAATGGCATTGGGACAGCACCACAGAATGTCAGCGTCCCACGTTTGCGGGGAGTCCTGGGCCCCAGTTCTTACACTGCAGTTTGCATGAGGATGGGCCGCCGCCACCTCCGCCTGGGGCTGTCTGGTGACGCCCCCAGGAGGGACGCGCCCACTGAAAAGCCAGCGTGGTGTCAACTCTGGGACTCTGGGGGTGCAGGAAATACCACAGGACCATCGTTACTCCCATGCCTGCTGAGTCAAAACTGTATTGTAGGAGGCTTCTTGCAACGCCCATGTAACTTTAATGGAAGTGACTAGGTACAGCTGTTCTACAGCAAGGAAGGAATCTTAGTGCTAGAATTCGGTTGAGCCTTTGAATTGGCTCTTCTTATAAGTGAGCAAACAACAAGGTTTAGGAGGCGCCCATTTTTGTATTAGCACGATTGCCCTCGTGCATATTATTTCCCAAGCCCTATTATGACTAGGAATTGGACTTAATGAAGAACCATGTTGTCAAACATTTTATGCCCATCTTGAAGTTGTGAAGGAAGATAAGCACCAAGAAAAGGAAATAAAATCCAATATGGGCCAGGTGCGGTACCTCACGCCTGTAATCTTAGCAGTTTGGGAGGCCAAGGCAGGCAGAACTCTTGAACCCAGAAGTTCAAGACCAGCCTGGGCAGCATAGTGAGACCCCGTCTCTACAAAAAATATAATTAGCCGGGTGTGGTGGCATACACCTGTAGTCCCAGCTCCTTGGGAGGCCAGAGGGGGAGGATCACCTGAGCCCTGGAGGTCAAGGCTGCAGTGAGCTATGATCCCACCACAGCAGTACAGCCTAAGTGACAGCAAGATGCTTTCTTGGGGAAAAAAAGTCCCATATGACTTTCCTTGATGACCCCACCCTCAATCCGCACTGTGTCATTATGCCAAGAGAGGTTTGGGCATTCTAAAGAAGTATGAGGAATACTTGATCAATAACATAGCATAGTTCTTTATTTGTGAATCACTTCTCTCCTAGACTATGAGTTACTTTAGAACAGAGATTTATTTTTCCCTGTATCCCTAGGGTTTGGCACATGGTCGGTGCTTAGTAAACTTATTTTGTATTCAATAATGCCAAGTAGAATAATTCATAAATTATGGAAAAATAAAAGAATTTGGCAAAATTGCAAGCTTGAAGATCGCTTTCAGGAAAAATATTTCGACCCCTGCTCAAAAGTACATAGCTTGCTGTGTTGTTGAAGTGCCAGCATGAGGAGGATCATGCCAACACATCCATTTATTGCCCGTTCTGGGTGTGTTGAGCGTTTTAACTTTGCTTCTAAAAATCAAGGAATGGCAATGGTATCAACTTTCACGAACACAGTCGTTCACGTGAACCCAATATCAGTGATAACTTCTGTTTTGAATTTTTAAAATGTATCTCTGAGGTAAGAATGTTGATTCATGCATAGTCCAGCTGGCTTTGCCTATGAATATAAATCGTGAAAACAAGGCTGTTGGCCCAAATGTAAGTTATATTCCAAGGTTTGGTCCAAAGACTGGAGAATCTGTAAGTAGGAAGATAGAGTTTTGTTTCCCCCTCTTTTACTGGTTGAGTAACTTTGAACAGGTCACTTATATTTGGGGGCATAGAAGATGCAGATGACCCTGTCATGACCACTGTTAATTGTTCTACTAACACCCTAGACTTCATCATCTTGTTATAGCACTTACCACAGTTGCTTTTAAATCATCATGCAGTTATATGTTTATTGTCTGCCTTTTCCCCTAGAATAAAGCCTCTGCTGACATAAGGTCTATGTTTGTCTTGTTAATTGCTCTCCCTACCACCTAGCACCAATGCCTGACATTTGATTGGCTCTTAGTATTTGTGAAATGAAGGAGAATGATCTTGTCCAAAGAAGACAGGGAAAGATTCTTAGAGGTTAAAAAAGAAAAATTCGGCTGGGCGTGGTGGCTCACACCTGTAATCCCAGCACTTTGGGAGGCTGAGACGGGCAGATTACCTGACGTCAGGAGTTCGAGACCAGCCTGACCAACATGGTGAAACCCCATCTCTACTAAAAATACAAAAATTAGCAAGGCGTGGCGGTGGGCACCTGTAATCCCAGCTACTTGGGAGACTGAGACAGGAGAATCGCTTGAACCCGGGAGGCAGAGGTTGCAGTGAGCCGAGAAATGTGCCATTGCACTCCAGCGTGGGCAAGAAGAGCAAAACCTTGTCTCAAAAAAAAAAAAAAAAAAGAAAGGAAAAAAAAGCCAGGCGCAGTGGCTCACACCTGTAATCCCAGCACTTTGGGAGGCCCAGGCAGGTGGATCACCTGAGGTCAGGAGTTCAAGACCAACCTGGCTAACATAGTGAAATGCTGTCTCTATTAAAAAAAAAAAAAAAAGATAAATTAGCCAGGCATGGTGGCAGGTGCCTGTAATCCCAGCTGCTCGGGAAACTGAGGCGGGAGAGTCACTTGAACCTGGGAAGTGGAGGTTGCTGTGAGCCGAGATCATGCCACTGCAGTCCAGCCTGGGCGACAGAGCAAGACTCAGTCTGAAAAAAAAAAAAAAGAAAAGAAAAATCCACATACTGTGGTTGTGAGTAGTTTTGCAAACCTTTCCTATTGATAACATTGCAATGCCTCTAGATACCACCAACTAGAAGCCACACTAAAATGAAATTGTATCAGTAAGGAGGGTCTAGGTTACACTACAGTAACAAGGCTTAAAACCTCAGTAGTTTACAACAATACAGGTTATTTCTCACTCGATACATGAACATGGTGGTGCCTCCACTACATATCCTATTTAGTCTTCAGCCAAGGCTGATAGCAGCCTCTGTCTAGAACATTAAACTTCATCAGGGCAGAGGAAGAAGTGAGTGACAAAGCGCGAACTGGTTTTTAAAGCTTCTGCCTCAAGTGCTAGGCACTACTTTTGTTCGTGTTTTATTGGTTGAAGAATGTGTGCCTGTTGTCAATAGGATGCAGAAGTATGAAGCATACATTGGCTTTTTTTTTTTTTTTTTTTTGGAGACGGAGTCTCACTCTTGTCGCCCAGGCTGGAGTGCAGTGGCCGGATCTCAGCTCACTGCAAGCTCCGCCTCCTGGGTTCACCGCATTCTTCCTGCCTCAGCCTCCGAGTAGCTGGGACTAAGGCCGGCCCGCCGGCCTCGCCCGGCTAATTTTTTGTATTTTTTAGTAGAGACGGGGTTTCACTGTGTTAGCCAGGATGGTCTCGATCTCCTGACCTCGTGATCCGCCGGTCTCGGCCTCCCAAAGTGCTGGGATTACAGGCTTGAGCCACCGTGCCCGGCCTACATTGGCTTTTAAAGCTTTGCCTGGAAGTGACTGGCATATGGCACTTCTGCTCATGTTTAATTGGTCAAAGCAAGCTGTGGCCAAGCACTGATCAAGTGGCAGAGAAATATAGTCCATCTCCAGGGAGAAACAGCAAATATGTTTGAATAGTAACATGATTTTTCAAATAAATCAAGAGAAAAAAAATAAGCATGGAGAATGTTGTACAGTAGATTTTAAAGGATATAACATGGGTGGTTTCCAGCATTCATTAACTACCCTAAAGACCCTCAGCATCTGGTCATTTGTAATTTGGGGAAGCTTTGCATTGCCATCCCAAGATCTGCGTCGTTTGTATCTCTAAGGCAGAAATAGCTTATAGCAATAGATCGTGAGTGAGAGGATTCTCCATTTAGAGACTTTTACAGGTCCTCAGACCAGACCTTTTCCAATGTCAAGGGTCCACTGGAATGTCAAGTGCAGACTAAACAGCATGTCAGCATGAAATCTGAAAATTTAAAAATAGAATTATGAAGACTCTCCAACACTGACTGAGGGATACAGGCATGTCTTAGAGCAATAGGAGTGATCCAACTATCGGAATAGTGCTTTGTCTTAGTATCAGAGAGTAAATTAGAATCTACCTTTAATAGGGAATGCGTGTGTGTGTGTGTATGTGTGTGTATGTAATTGTTACTTAGTGATGGGACTATATTCTGAGAAATGCATCACTGTGTGAACATCTCAGCATACTTACACAAACCAAGATAGTATAGCCTACTACAACACCTAGGCTATATGGTGTAGGCTATTGCTCCTAGGTTACAGACTGGTACAGCATGGTACTATATGGACTACTATAGGCGGTTATAACATAATGGTAGGTATTTGTGGATCTAAACATATCTAAACATAGAAAGGATCCAGTAAAAATACAGTGTTATAATCTTTTTTTTTTTTTTTTTTTGATGGAATCTTGCTCTGTCTCCCAGGCTGGAGTGCAGTGGCATGATCTTGGCTCGCTGCAACCTCCACCTCCCGGCTTCAAGCAATTGTCTCTGCCTCAGCCTCCCAGGTAGCTGAGATCACAGGCGCCCACCACCACACCCAGCTAATTTTTGTATTTTTAGTAGAGACGGGGTTTTGCCATGTTGGCCAGGCTAGTCTTGAACTCCTGACCTCAGGTGATCCACGTGCCTCGGCCTCCCAAAGTGCTGGGATTATAGGCATGAGCCAACTCAGCTGGCCCCTCAAAATTAATGATGTAGCTAGTTATAGAGCTCTGGATTGTAAATAATTCTCCTTTAGAACACTGAAGGCATCTCTTATTATCTTCTAGCATCTCGTATATATGTGTGTGTTATATATATACACATACACATACATATATACACACACATACATATATATGAGATGTATGTGTGTATATATGCATATAAATATATATATACATTATATACATATATATATATATATATTTTTTTTTTTTTGAGATGGAGTCTCACTCTGTCACCCAGGCTGGAGTGCAGTGGTGCAATCTTGGCACACTGCAACCTCCTCTTTCTGGGTTCAAAAGATTCTCCTACCTCAGTCTCCTGAGTAGCTAAGATTACAGGCATGCACTACCATGCCTGGCTAATTTTTGTATTTTTAGTAGAGACGGGGTTTTGCCATGTTGGCCAGGTTGGTCCCCAACCCCTGACCTCAGATGATCTGCCCACCTTGGCCTCCCAAAGTGCTAGGATTACAGGTGTGAGCCACCTCGCCGGCTCCAACATTTCTTTGAACAGTTTTATTGCTGTGCGTGGTGGCTCACTCCTGTAATCCTAGCGCTTTGGGAGACCAAGGTGGGCAGATCACTTGAGGTCAAGAGTTCGAGCCTGGCCAACAT